ATTGAAAGTATTGTAATTCTGCAGAATAAAAGTGCCAGGGCATAATTAGATGCATGGCCAAGGAATGCTTAACACAATGGATTGACAAGATATTGATATTTACACTAAGAGCCAGACATAGTTAAGATTTTCTTCTGATTTGTTACCTAATATGATATGCGGCACTTAAATATACAAGGGAGTGCTCATTGCTGAGGAAATGAAAAGAAATTCCCCTAAATCTTAAAGCTGTTTTAAAAGTCGCTTTCTTCCCTGGTTAAAAATTAGATATATGATGAGGCTTAAATATTCAAAATTACCTTGAGAATTTAAGAGAGAAGCCAGTAAAAACAATAACATTTTTACTCCTAAATCACTTTCACCCTTTCTGTAAAGATGTTCCTTTCTAAAGTAGTATAATTTAAAAGAGAGGGTATGAAACGCACTGACTGGTTTTCAGGAAAAAAAAAAAAAACAATGGATATGAAATAGAGGCAAAGTAAATCTGATCCATTCCTTACTTTTGCTGAGTTTTGGAGAGCGAGAAAATATTCTTAATTTTACTACAATTTATCATGCTAAAACCCACTTAAATCATCAGATGTCAGGAAGAAGATTATTCTATTTGTATATACTTCAGGGGGAATTATTTTATGTTAACTTATCCATTTTCTGTTGTGTAGCACATTTTCATTAATGATCTCAAAATATTTTACCAATGTGAATTACATCAATCTTCACCGTGCTTCTGTTATAAGAGAAAAATCCCTTTGTCCACTGCTGAAATGGTGACATTTAGAGCACAGCAGCTATTACTACAGCAAACAACAACACCATGATACAATTCAAGGGCCAAAGCGGAGAAGCCAATCCAATGCAGCTTTTAAGAGCTAGCACAGAGCTTTATCCGATTTAGCTTTTCCAGTGTAACACATATTAACTGACAGAATGAAAGATGAGTGAAAAAACAAACAAATAAAATATGTTTCTCAAACTGGAAAAAAGAAGCATTTGAGATATTTGAGATGATAAGATGTAAAATCTAACTTTGCAAATTATGCTCAAACTAATTAGGAAGAAGGTGACATAAGCAACACGTTTATTCAGAGAAGAAGTCACAGGGAAAAGAGTAAAAATGGTTAAACATGCATTTATTAAGAATCCTAACTCTAAGAACTATCGAGCTTTGTAAAATTCCAGAGCCTAGCATTCTTAGACAAAGAAGAATTTCTTTTTATGTCCCATTACCATTCTGTTGAAATATTTGCTTATCACTCATAGGCACATCTCATATTTTATATTTCTTATGCAATGCCACATGACTTATGCTTTATTATAGAATTATATAAAGCCACCTCCCTCCTCCAATTTACTTCCCTGGGGCTAGACTGCACCTACATTTGTATTACTCGGCAAAAGCCATTAGAGCGCTGTTTCTCAGAAATTCATAATTTTTCCTCATTCTTTTCTTACAGTCAAAACAAGAAGAATTTATTTTTCTCTGTAGCATTTATTTAAGCCTCCCTCTACCACCTTTCATATGCTAAATTCAGGTATGCTGGCTGACTTGCGTGACAGAGAGGAGAGCAGAGGCTTTTCCTCAGCTTTTCCTCAGCTCCCTGCTCCGACAGCACCAGCAAGGGTACCTGAGCAAGTTGAGACTAATGAGACGCAAAGATGAAAGCAAATGCAGCTTAAAATGGAATTCCATTATAAATTAAATGCAAAAGTTTAGATCAACTTCTGCAAGTGATTCAGCAAAGCTGGCATCAGAGTTAGTTTTAACTTAATTCTACAGCATTTTGGAAAGCAAAAAAGAAATAAATAAGGCTGATTCTGTGCAATAGGGAAATCGAGGTGATTCATACAGAATTAAATTAATGGTTCTCATTATACAAAAAAGATCTAAACTTTACAGCCAAAGAACAAAGAACAAGCAAACTCCCACAAATGTTTAATTGTGCTTAAAACACCACAAAATAATCCATTTTGTGCCACTGAAGCTTCCTATCAGATTTATTTCCATGACCAAAGCTTGGCAAGCCAAAGTTTTTCAGGTCACTGAACCTAGAAAAAGAGCTAATTAGCTGTTTTCTTCTTTCCTGCAGGTCCAAACTATAACGAACAACATACAATACAATAAGGCCTTTCCTTCATCTCATTTAGGAAAACCATATTGATGAAGAATGATTCCTCCTCACAGGATGAATTTTTTTCAGGTTGTTGAGTTGAAAAGTCTAAATTTTGAAGAATGTCAACAGTACCAAAAGTTTTAATTACATGAATAAAAATCAGTAACACGTTAGTGAGACAAACCAGGATGTTTACCAACTATAAAAAAGGAAATTTAGCTTTGGTGGATGATTGGACACATTACATTTGAGAAAGCTTTATGAATACTGGTCCTTGTGGCGGGTTCCCCTCCTTCTGTTTGAAAACACTCAGAGATTTTTGGAGCAAGGTGGCAGGGACAATTAACAGCATTATTACTGAAATAGAAATGCAGAAATGCATTGAAAGAACCGTCAAGGTCCACCTACGTTGTGTAAAAAAACAGTAAGAAAGTTTTCTTGTGCCAGTGAGCCAACAATTCAATGAAATTATTTGCCAGAACATTCACCACAGATGTCCTTAGGCATTTACATTCTTCCTTTGAGAAGTCCTAACAGCGCTGAAAAAGTAGGGGTTCAACTCATCTTCACACTTCAAAAAAAAATAATAATTAATTTAGTATTCTATCACCTCTCTGAACTGCCTTGTCTGGAAAGCCATTTTAGGGCATAACTATATTTCCTTTAAGATAAATGGTATGATGATAGGTGCATTATTATAAACTTCTACAGGTTGGAAGATTTTCTTCTGTTTTTTCCAATATTTAACAAAGAGACTAAGCCTCACTGTCACCTACGCAGTATTATAGGGCAAAGGTGCCTATAAGTCTGATTTTGAAGTCTTTAGCGGGCCAAGAGGGGCTGCACACAGAAGCACGCACACACGACACTATCTGGCCCAGTGACTACAGCATTTTTCCAGCTGAGGAAATACCACAGCTAGAAACCTATACAAACCTATACAAAACTGAAATGGTCTTGAGAGCAGATAGGAGAACTCAGGTCTCCCAGCCTACTCCTCCAGGCTGGAGGAGAAGGTTTTTCCATACGTTTGCTTGTCTTCCTCATTTTGGAGAGCGTTCAAGCATGCAAATCCTGATCAGAAATAAAAGCCTATTTGCAAAGCAAAAATCACACACACATCCTGTGGGAATATATTGGCCTCGGATCAGCAGATAATTTTCACCTTGACATTTCTTATTGGCTAACCTAAATAGGTCCCTATTTGGTATTTCTGATGTGTCCCATTTCTAAGGACATAACTCTTCCCATGCTTTGCGTAAGAACATGGTGACTAATCCAGAATCACCTATTATCACAACAGACACCTTCTGCTTATTTATCTAGTCCACATCATGTGCTGGAGATTGAAACACAGACCACATGCATCTTTCACTCTACTGTCAATATTTCTCTTTAAAAAAAAAAGATAAAAAAACAATAACACACTTTAAAGAAAAAGGGATAGCAATACAAAAGTGGTATAAAAGCGTATAAGCATTGATAGATCGTGTTGTGGGAATAAATCATGCCGATTGAACATCTTGTCACTAGTATAATTGCATCTGTATTTAGGGTTTCTAACACTGTAACTGTAGCTGCAGACTGTCCAGGGTACAGATCTAGCACTGGAAATCGAGAACTGGGGCTCCCTCTTGGTGGAAACCGGACAAGTGTAAGCAAGTGTAAAACGTCTCATTAAAACAGAAGAAAAGTCAGACCTATAGGATGCAAGACCAGAATGGAGAGTTCTGATGTTAAAAATGAAAACAGACTTAAAAAAGAAGTCTTTTAAGAAAGCTGAATGCAAAAGAACATAGAAATTTCATGTAACTTTTCCACCCTTTCCAATGGTTAAAATTCCCAGCAAAGGGATTTAATTCTCTTCTGCTTTCCACCAGTGTCATTCTTCTAATCGCTCTTGGCAGTGATCCTTATATATGTTCTGCACAATAATATCTAAGTTTTATGAACTGCCAGGAACAAACAAGCTGGCAAAGACAACTCCTATTAAGCATCAGTATTTTTCTAAAAAACAGAACCCAGCAATATCATTGGTTGTTTGGATAAATAATTACCTTCATGCACTGGAATAGTAAGAAACAGATGTGGACAAAAAAAAAGACAGATGAGGGATGTTAATAACCAAGAGTAAAGCTAGGAGAAAGATTAGATACTGGCTGGCTAGCTTCTTACTATTTATTTGCTTCTGATCATTTAAGCTTGGTAGTCTCTTTATTATGCATCCCCTTTGTTTTTCCCTGCTCTTTATTTTCAATTATAGTTGCTTTTGCAGTCTAAAAATTATGACGCTATCATGTGCTTGTAGAAAAGCTGATTTTTTTTTTAATTTTAATGAAAAGATGCATTTATTTTGGGGTAAAATTGGTTTTCCTAAAATCATAAAAATGAAAAGACATTAGTAAGAAAGCATGAAGTCATCTAGTTTGTGCTCAGTTCTTTATCACGAGCAGCTTTCATCTTCGAAAGGAATATAGACAATGAAATGAAGAGCTGTTTGCACCTTTTTAATATTATAGTGTGCGCTTAGATATCTTCGTAATAAACTAGAAGGGTGCTTGCTGCTCTGCAAAGGAAATCTTCATGTTTTAATGTGGCTATCAAGGAGGACAGACTTAATGAACCCAGAGTATTTTTTGAAAAATGATAGTTTTAGCAAGTTACAGTGTGTACATTGAAGTCTGAACTAAAAATTATGTATATATACTGTACTATAATTCACCTGAGTGTAATTGCCATTCCTGGTTTGTTCTTCTGGAAAATAATGAACTATGTAACTGTAAAATACATAATTAATTGTATGATTTGTTTATAATTTCTATACAATAATGAGTAGAATTTTTTGTGTAAAAATAAACAATAACTGATTATAAAAAAATTAATACTTACATAAGGGATTGTGTCCAAGGTGTCTGTGTTGACAATTATAGGGGCAGGGCTTGCCTGAAAGGAAAAAGAAGAGAAAAATAATTTCAAATTGATGAAGTTCTTTAATATTGAAATGCTCTAATGGTACACTAAAAGAATAGCAGCCTAACTTCCCATTGAACTCACATTGCACATAACTTTGGGTACCGTTCAGTCAGTTAAAGGCTCCAAATCAATTCAACAATATTTGAAGCCTCCAATTCACAACACGCTGTGGTCTTTCTTTTTCATTTCAGTAGGCTTTAGATCACAACCTGTTCTCCTCAAAAGTACACTTTTCAGTAGAACTGTAAGAAACATGAAGCATTCACCTGAGAATTACTTTGGAGGCAAGAGGTTCAGTTTCCCCTACTTTACCAGTTAACTTTTTGTGTTTGAGCAAAACAAAGATGATCAGCTGATCTTTGCAGAGGACAAAATTCAACATTTTATATTCTCATACTACTTACGTGCACAGTATAAATATCATATGCATACAGATATGATATCTATATTTGATATCTATACCAAAGCTATATATATCCTCCATCACTCACATGCAACAGGCATAATTCAGCTGATCTTTAATTTGAAATATGGACCTCGTTTATAAAGATCGGTGAAATTGCAAAGCTGCCCAGCCTGATCTTTAACTTACTGATGAAGCCCACGTCCAACTTTCAAGCCCCTTGAAATGCCACAAGCTCTTCCCTTCCCCTCCCAGGGCTCAGCCACCATGATTCAAAGCCGAGCTCTGATTTGGCCAAGCTGCATAACCTTGGCTCAGAGCCCTGTCAAAATTATGGAGCTGTAAGAAAGTCTGTAGGGTAGAGCCATGCACCATAAGTAAAAAGGCAGACAGGAACAGGATTGCTGAGATGGGGTTGTTAACAGCTCAAGGATTCAAGAGGAGGAAATACCGATGTGCAAAGTTACAAAATTCAAATGGAAAAAGAGAGGGAGCTGGAAGAGGACAACTGAGCAACATCAAGGCTCAGCCCACTACAAAAACTAACGGTGCTCAACCCTTCCCTGGCTCACTGATGCCTACAAAGGCTCTCCGCGTGCCTTATCAGGCTGACGAGCATATTAATGCATACTAACGAGCCTAGTAGCTCATTAGTCCTATTTATCCGCTCTGTCTGTATATTAGCCAGTGAACAGTTCCTTTATACTTTAAAGTTGCATAGGCTGCAGCGTCTCTTTGTGCACACAGGGAGGATTACGGAGCTATTGAAAGCAGTGATCAGATTTCTACCATCAAACACTCATAGCACTATTTCAAAACCTGAGAAACATAACACAGATAAAGAATGCAACATTAGTGCAGCAGCTCAAATGTTTTGAGAGTATCACAGTTGCTTTCAATTTTTTGATGTAGTTATTATTGTAAGATAATTCTGTCTTCACAGAAATTGCACATTAGAGCACAACAGAAACTGATGATTAATGTCATTACTTCTGTAGGAATATACAACTGTGAAAGCTGTGAACAAAACCTAAAAGTAAAACACATGTAATTTGGTGTACTGAAATACATTTCATGAAATGTATCAGTTATCATAGCAGTGTACAAAATATTAAAGACACTCAGTATCTGAAAAGATATTTTATACTTGTGCCTAGTTATTCCCATTTCCCCACATAACACTGGACAGTCTGAAACGATAAATAAAAGCTGAAGGCCGTTTGATTATAATAATTTCAGTTTTAGGCATACAGGAATGATTTATAACTATATTATCACTGAAGGTTAAATAAAGGGTTACTTTTGATTTCAATCTTAGATTTTACTTACATGAATATTTAGCTCAATATAGTTAAAGACTGCTGCCTCTGTTACATGAAGAAAAAATGTTTTTGGTGGTATTCTGTTGTCTTTACTCAATTTTGCCTTTCATTCATTTTGATCTTTTTTATTTTTACCTACTGTGAAAAGCTCTACTACTAAATATAAACAAAATCTGTAATCTTCTGAATGAAAGCATCCTTCAAGTGCTTTAAAAATAGTATCTATTAAAATAATAACCATCTTTTGGAAGTCAATTTCCAAAGCATCCCAATATTATAACTGATAGCTTCTAATTGAATTTAAGAACAAATCATTTTATTCATTTCATATTCCAGAAATCAAGCTAAACAGTTTTCTGAATCAAAAACTAGTAATCATGGGGACACCATAAAACAACAACAGTTAGGAGAACAAGGAAAAGTCAGTTACTCCTTTATTCCCTCTTATGAGCACAAGCAGAACCTGCTCACTTCTAACACTGATTAGTGACCTTCAGGAGGACTATGGTCAATCATTTTGGGAGAAATAGGAAGGCCTTGCTCAGTCTGGTTTTGTACATCACCAAAGACAGACATTTCACAGCCTCTGTGGGTCCCTGTTTCAGCGCTTAACTACCCTCACTGTAAAGATCGAGCTCTCTCAGCCTTTTCTTGTATGCTGCATGCACCAGACCCTTCCACTGTTGTGTGCCCCACCACCTTGGTTATCCTCCAGGAAATATACTTCTGCATTAGAAGAAGTAACAAGGTCCTGCTAGACCTTGTCCTAACAAACAAAGAAGGTCTAGTTGGAGATGTGAAGGTTGGGGGCAGCCTTGGCTGCAGTGACCACGAGATGGTGGAGTTCAGGATCCTGCGAGGAGGGAGCAGGGCAATGAGTAGGATTGCAACCCTGGACTTCAGGAGAGCTGACTTTGGCCTCTTCAGGGACCTACTTGGAGGAATCACCTGGGGTAGGGCCCTAGAAGGAAGAGGGGTCCAAGAAAGCTGGTTAATATTCAAGCATCACCTCCTCCAGGCTCAAGATCAGTGCATCCCTCTGAGGAAGAAGTCCAGCAAAGCAGGCAGGAGACCTGCATGGATGAGCAAGGAACTCCTGGCAAAGCTCCAGCAGAAAAAGGAAGTGTACAGAATGTGGAAAAGGGGACAGGCCACTTGGGAGGAATACAGGGAAATTGTCAGAGTGTGCAGGGATGTGACAAGGAAGGCTAAGGCCCA